GCAGGGGGTGAGGGTTAACCATTTAAAATAAGTTGTGTATTAAAACGGCTTCTCTTTCTCCAAGTGATCTTAGGAGTGAGGTTTATAGATGTATTAAAAACTGTGCTCCTGTATAACCAATATCTAAGATACTGTGAGAACAAACAGTGACACTCAAAGCATCTACTAAAAGAACTAGACAAATGATTGCATTATTAAGATCTTTAATGGTATGGGCCTGTTCTTAAATTGTAGTCTAAGCACAGTTCATAGTGCTAACAAAATCGGATTGAAAACCTTGAGGACCTCTTGAAGTGGTTACTTCAGATAGTGTGCTGCCTTTGGGGGATAATATTTAATGCACGTTTCAGTGTAACTGTTGGGAAACAAGAACTGGTTTTAAGTGAGCTTGTGACCTAAGACAGAGGTTTTCAAACTACGAGTCTCGACCCAGCACTGGGCCGTGAAAAGTCAGGCGCTGGGTCTTGTTACTGCAGGGTGGTTAGGTGACCAGTGGAGGGGCTAAGGCAGCTACCTGCCTGTTCTGGCACCGCAGACTGTGCTGTGCCCCAGAAGTGGTCGGCAATAGGCCTGACTCCTTGGTGGGGAGAAGGAAAGCACGCGGGACTTCGCACTCCCATTGGCTGGGAACCTGCTGCTGGTTGCTTCTGGGGTGTAGCACAGTCTGTGGTGCCAGGAAAAGCTGCTCAAGATAAGATGCTCCTGCTGGAGCTCTGACATCCCCAAAGCTGGAGCCCCTCCTACACCTCAAAGCTCTCATCAAATTATGTTGGATCATGGACATTGTGACGGACCGGGCCGTGTCTGGGCACAGCTGAGGGCGCCCGCTCAGGGTGAATTGCTCAAATCCGGGGCTCCTTACAGCCCCCCTGACTGGTGACCTCTCCAAATAGGCCACAAACCAGTCTCACAGAGCGCTTCAGCTGCCTGCCTGAAGCCTCACGAGCAAAACCCCTCTGACACCCCAGCAATATCCGTGCCCCAGATGGCCCCGGGCCTCATACACAGGTGGGGGGGTCCTAGCACCCAATCCCACCTACCCCGAACAAGTTCTGTCTGGTTCCAAGAAACCAGCCACAGATCCCTGGTCAATTTACCCTCTGGACCATACCCACAAATCACGCTGGGCCAATCCTTTAGAATATATATCTAAAGGTTTATTATTACAATAAAGAAAAGCATGAGAGTAAGGTTATTAAAGTACAGTACGTTACATGCACCGAATCTCCCAGTTCTCGCTGCAGGCTCTAGCAGAGGTGTTGCAGCTGCTGGTTTAAAAGTTCTTATTGCACATCCTAAGATCAGGATGGGTTCACAGGTCTTCCGGGCTCTTCGATCCCTGCAATGCTGCCTCTGGGATGAAGTGCTGAGCTGAGAACAAAATGGCATCGACCGCATGGCCTCTTTATACCCCCTTCCTGGCCTCTTCTGGTATGCAGCAAGTCACCTGGTCAGAGGCCAATCTCTGTGTTCCCTGCTGGCTGCCCTCAGGTGACAAACCCCAATCTTTGTGTGTGTCCATAGCCCATTGAGAGCCAGTGTCCCACAAGGCTTCGCTACTCAGCCTGTCCATAGCCATGCTTAACCACATTCAGAGAAATATTCAGCTTCCACACAGATTACAGATTCCTACCTACACACACAGACATTATATACTCATATAAACAGTGTACACAGGATCAGAAAACAACAAGCTCCCATTCAATACCCCACATGGCTCCTTTTTATACCAATTTCTGGGGCCAACACCCCCACCTAGGGGTGCAGCAGCGATCTGGCTGCTTCCCTCCAATTCGGTAATGTGACAGACATCAACGAAAGTTTTCTTTCCTGTCTGCAATAATTTTGCTCATGTCTAAAGAGAACAGCTTATTTTAAGTAACCAAGCGTTTAATGTCGTTTTATTCAGATTAGAATCTGTTGGTAGTTTACAAAATGCATCTATAAAAAAAATGGTTCTTACTTCTTCCATATAAACATATTAATTTATTTTGCATAGTAGTCTGTTTTAAGCACACTAAAAATGAATGGGTTTTCAAAACTATTTCTTCAAACATAGGAACAAGGAATTTTTAAACTTGATTTTGAGACATTTTTTGATCTTGAGCAAGGCACTAAACCTCAGGTTCCCACTTGTAAAATGGGACTATTACCTTCAAGGAGTGTTTTGGAGAGTGAAGTGTTTTGAGGTTGGAAGAGTGAGTAGTAGTAGTAATCAGGGCTCGCTGAGCTGCGGCAAGCCCCGCTCAACAGCCGTGCTGTCCGGCGTTCTGCGCAAGCGCCCATCACCCAAACCTGGCTCTTCCGGGATGTAATCTACTCGCCACGGGCAAGTAGATTACATAGATTGTCGAGCCCTGGTAATAATACACATTATATTGACTTCAGCTGGAGAGGAATAGAGGATGCTAATAAGATCTCTTGTCTCATGCTACTGTATCTTAAATGAATTACTGTGACTTTTTGGCAGAACTTTGTGTAGCTGTGCCTGTTTTCATTATCCTAGAGTTGGCTGACAAGGCAGTCTCCTGTTAACCAAATTTGCCTTTGATCAGATACTGCCCCAAAGTTAAACCTGCAAGTGGCTCTTGTCTCTCCTTAGCATAGCTCACAGGTCTATACGGACTTTTTGCCACTGAACATGATGTAATCTCTCTGATTTAACTCAGTTTACTGATATTTAAATATCCAATACAACCACAGACATTCACATTGATGAAGAGGCTCACTGAAAATGACTGAGCTCTATGAATTAGAGCAGTGGTCACCAACCAATAGCTCGGGATCTACTGATAGCTCTTAAAGCCTCTGACAGGTGATCCTGACTGATTTGGCCAAGAGGCTATCAAGTGCCAGCATTTCAGCTGCGCCTCCCCCCCCATTGCTGCTCATCTCCTGCCCTTTGCCTTGGAGCTGCCCCTCCTGCTGGGGAGCTTCCTGTTTGCTGGGCAGGGGAGGAAAAGGAGAGGTTCTGATGTCAGGTTGCCCCCTCCCTCTCTGTATCCTTTCTCTGCAAAGCAGACAGGGCACAACAGGACTTGGGATGGAGAGAGTTTGCTGGCTACTTTAGGGAGTGGTGGAGGGCCAGGGCAGGGGTGAGCCTGCCTTAGTCCCACTACATCACCACCCAGGAGCCACCTGAGATAAGCAGTGCCCAGTTGGAGCCCACATCCCAAACTCCTACCGCAGTCTCATGACCCCCTCCTGCACCCGAAACTCCCCTGCATCAAAACGCTATCCCAGAGGCGGCACCTAGAACCCACTCCAACATCCCAACTGCCTGCCCCAAGAGCAGCTCAGAGCCCCTCTCACACTCCAGATCCCTTAACCCAAGACCAGAGCCTGCACCCCAACCCTCTGCCCCAGCCTGATGAAAGAGAATGAGGATGGGCAAGAGAGGGAGGATGTAGTGAGCAGGGGTGGGGCCTCGGAGAACAGGTGGGAAGGAGGCAGGTCGAGGGTGTTTTTTATTTGAGGTAGATCTTGGATTGTACTCAAATTCAGAAAGTGATCTTGTGCTTAAAAAGGTTGGAGACCGCTGAATTAGAGTGTGGTGGATAAGAGAAGTGCTGGCCAGCACGAGGTGACTAAGGGGTTAAACTCAGGTAGCTATCAAGAGTGTTAGCAGGGGACCAGAAGAACTAGTGGGGATAAGGTACTGAAATTTGACTTGTATAGATACCTTGCCTGCTCTCTTTCTATGGGGAAGTTAAGCCAGGAGTTGAGAGAAACAGAATGATTTAAACCCAGACAGGATTATCATGCCTCCAAAGAATTTGGGGCATGGGAGTGGACTGAATCAGAAAGCGATTGTGAGTAAATAAAGGGAAACATCTTCAGTTGTGATTAGGGTATTTTTCTTTGTTTTTGTGATTTGTTTGAACTGCACTGTGTGAATCTATGCCTCCTCTTCCCCATTCACTATCTGAGTTGTTCCCAGAGAGCTTCTCTGTCTTCTAATTTGTTTTACTTAGTTGCTCTGTAACACCTTACAATCAAGAATGCTTTATCAAGTATATCTTTTGTCTTGCTTGGGGTACCCCGGGCAAGGAATTGAAGTGTTCCCTCCTGTTTTTTCAGGATTAAATCACTGGATGGTGGCAGCTTTTATTCCTCAGAGCCTGTGACTCTGTGGGCTTTTGTAAGCCGAGCCTAGAGGCGAAGGTATTTAAGGTCTTTGCAGGCCCCCACCTTTTGCACTCGATGAGTCTGAGAGTGGGGAGCAGCCCTGACATAGAGTAACCACAATAAGACAACCGTAGTGGAGTTCATTGCAATGCATTTGCTTGGCAATTTGTATTTTATTTTTAAGACTTTGCTATGTGCTGTAATATACCCTATAAAATAATGAAGTCCTACAGTGAAATTTTGCTGCCATGGAGGCTTTGAAGTCTTTTCTGAGAAGTGAGAAGATATAGCCACTCTGTGCAAATTGTAAAGTATGCAGATTGAGATCCTGTTGTTGATGAATAATCGCAAGGGTTGAAAACAAGTTCGTGTACATCAAGTATTAACTTAGAACAAGGATGGAGTTCAGAGATTGGAATAATTCTTAAATGAAAGACAATTATAGCACTTAGACCTTCTAAAGGGCTTTTTCATCTGTGGCTTTTAGTGTGTTACAAACACTAATAAACTGATTCTGTCATTACTTCTCTGAAGTATTTAAAACTAATAGTTGTGGGGACGAGAGAACTTGTGTGGCAAAAATAGCATGCAATAGAAATTGCACAAACAATGCAGGTGACTATTTCACTTACCTCTTTAAGATATGCAAAGCAGATGAAAAGAATTTAGCTGTCAGAGTTGTCTGAATTTCAGTATTGAAGTATTTATGTGCAGTATTGAACGCATCGGGAGTTAAAAATCGAATAACTGTCTATATATAGTTGATAAGGAGGGAGGGAAAAACTTATGAGCATGGAGAAAAATATCTTGAAATAATGATACTTGTATGGATCAGACTCTCTTATTCTAAAATCTATATG